ATATGATTTCCCTACGACTTTAAGATAATTAAGATCTTCAAACTTGGAATCAAAGTCGATTGTTTTTTTTAAACTTTTTCGGATTGACTCTGACCTGGATGAGAGTCTCCACCAGCAGGTTGAAGGAGTAAACAAAGCTGCGACTCGGTGAAAGTGTTGAATGGACACATGCTGCAGGGTGTCTTTTATTTTTTGGAGCAATAGATTAATCACATCAGCATCGATGTTACACAGCAACATACTATGAAGCTTCAGGAACAGGGAGAAACGTTTATGGCACTTTGTTTACAATAATATTGCTTTAAAAACACAACATACCCATTCTTAATACAGCTTCATGGGGTTAGTTTCACTGCATTTAAATATCAAATATATTGATTTACTGACCTATTCATGTTATTGCTAACATCAAACATAGCAAACAGTATATGCTTGAATGGCAGAGCTGTGTAGGAGTTTGGTGAAGAGTCCAAAGGAGGAGAATGAAATCCAGAACATGCAGCACAGCTTGATGGGACGATGGGAGGTTAGCAAGCAGAGTTTAAATACGAGTGGCGGACTGCGTCGCTCCTTCGGCCTCTAACACATGCAGTCCCTGCAGCAGAGGGAAGGTACAATCTTTTTTTTTCTTCTTCATGCCGGCGACTGGAGTCTGAGCTTCATGTGTTTGTTGAGTCGGGATTCGGTTTGGAAGAGAGGAACGTCTCACGCAGAGAGAGGGAACCTTCTGGAAAACAAACCCAACTCTCCTGCGTCTCCGTTTCCTGGTAAACAGCTCGTTCGTCGGCGGTCGTTCTCCTCACAAACAGAAGAAACACGGAAGCAAGCAGACTTTTCCGTTTGGTTCGATTCATGGAATGAGGTGAAAGAACCGCTGAAGGGACCAGATCTGCTTCATGCCAGCGAGGTTACGCTACATGATTGGCTGAATGTGTCCGTATGATGGAAAACACTGTGGTTGCCTAGACAACGATAATAAAATCACACAGCGTCGGTGTGTCGGGTGAGGAGCATCTGTAGCATTAGCGTGTCTAAATGACCGATGAAGATTTACCTGATCGATAACAAAACTGAAAAAAAAACGGACAGAAAAGGGCACCAGGTCCCCCCTTTAGAGGGGCTCCCCGACATCCTTCTGTTGCGGGTTCCCGGGGCGGTGGAAGCTTCGGAATCCAGTCTCCCTTCCCCCTCTGGGAACCCCACCCAGGCCGTGCCTGACCGTGCAGGGATGGCGACGTGCGACCAAAGCGTGCTGTCCAGGCTGCCCGCCTCCAGGCCGCCCCAACTCTCCCCTTTTGTTTATATCGTGATTTTAGACCATGATATAAAGGGGGAGAGCTGGCTAGCGCTGTAGCTAACAGGTTAGCCTCTTTTAGCTCGCTCAGTTAGCCAACAACTGAGCGAGCTAACCAATCTTTAAATAGAATAACTGTTTTATTTGTCTAAAAACTCTATAAAAGTCATTTTTAGGATGTTCCATCTGTCCTCCTCTGCCCTCAGATCTTAATAAAAAGAATAAAAATAAGTGGAATAAGAAACGGGCGCAACACAGTTTGTCCGAGTGGAGTTGCCGTATGATGACATCATAAGAAGGGGCGGGGCCCGAGCAGATCTGGTACCTACAGCGGAGTTTATGGAAACTAAATGGATGTTAGTTCACATCAAACTTAGCAGATATGTGGCTCATTTTTCTAACATTAATATCTGTGTTTGTTAAAAACACAGATTAGCGGCAAGAAAAAAAACAACAGAAAACTATTTTATCAGCTTTTCACAGGATTCACTAAAAATTATCATTTTAAAAATAATTATTTCTATTTGACTTTATTCTTAATCTCTGGGTTTATACAGGAAGAAGTAACGTTAATTAAATCCTTTTTAATGCCTTTAGAAATAATTGTAATGCCACCAACAGATACCTATGACTTTACGGATAACCAGAAGCAGTTCCGCGCAAATATATCGTGATATAATATATCTGACGAAATTGTTGTTAGAATGTTTTTTTTTTTAAATAAAGAATTTTAAATGCCACAATAATTAAATTAATTTTAATGCCAATAAAAAAAAAGTTTCATGACTTTTAATGACGTGTGGAAAGCCAGCATTAGAGGTAAACACATTACGTAGTGAATATTATGTCTTAGCATCACCGACTTTAACACAGCAGCTCTAGATGTTAGCTGTTTGCGCTAACATCGGATTTTTACAGCTCATAAAAGTTGGAATTAATTTAAAGATGGGTACAGTGACGGGCTTTGGCCACCAGGGGGCCCAGAAGCAATTTTAAATATGAGAAATAAGAAGAAAAACGAAGAGAAAGAAGAGGTCAGCGTCTGTTTTTGGCTTTTAAGGGACGGATTCTTCTGGCTGGGAAGGTGCAGCTAATTCCACTCACATCTTTAGAGCCTCGGGAAAAATGATGCCGACGACATTCAGGAAGATTATGCAACGCTTTTCTCCTCTCCGCTGTGCCCCTTTGTCCCTCCCCTCATCTCTCTTCCATTTGCCATCAATCCATCGAGTCCCGCAGGCTGGCAGGCCAGAGGCTGAGCTAGCACTCTGTCACATTAGCTTTCTGCTGAGTGAATTACTCGGCCTCCATTACACTAACAAGAAAGGAGGGAGATGGAGACGGAAAAAACTGGAAGGACGAGGAAAGAAGGACGGATCAGACAGGATGAGTCAGTAGAAAAAAAGAGGGATGGGAGAGAGGAGGCTGACGAGGGAAGAAAAGGAGATTTATGATGGAGGAAAGAGTGAGCAGCAAAAGGAAGAGAAATGAAAGAGAGGGTGGGTGGAGGTTAGAGAGGGGGAACAGGAGAAGGATGAGGCGGAGGACAAAAGGGCAGCGATGGAGGAGAGGAGAGAGCGGCTGAGATGCTGTGATGTAACGCTGCTATGGCTGCTACGCTGGAAACGCTGAAAGAAGCGGAAATGAAGGAGGTTAGGGTCTAATGAGGAGAAACCCTCCCCCTGGTCAAACCGTGGGCTCAAAGCCATGCAAGCGCAAACGCTGCAGCGACGCGTTTCTACAGACACAAATCCACATTCAGTGAAACAACACCTCAATAAATATCATAAATTATATAAATAATATAAATAAACAGAGTTGGAGTCGGTGTGCGGTGAAAACGGAAACACGGACAGTCAGTTATCAGCGAGGTACGGCAGAAAATAAAAACACTTTCTCCTGGTTTCTCTCTCAGAGCTCGGTGCAGCGCTCCTGCTTGCTGTAGTGGTCAAACTGACTCTTCCAGTGCATCATGTAGGACGACCAGCGGTGGAACTCCATCTTCCACTGACGCTCCGCCTCGTCGATGTTACCTGGCGGGAGGAGAAGAACACAGAGCGGGTCAGAGCGTCGCTGCAGTTCACCTGCTGCGCCCTAAAAACCTGGACGGAGGAGGAGGTTCAGCTCCGTCAGGCTGCAGCCGCTCCGCGATTTCAAAATCACCTCTGGTTATATTTCACCAAGCAGATCAGATAAAA